ACTTCAATGGAGAGCTTCTTTTGTTTATGCCTCAAGCCTTTAGCAAAATCTTTTTAAGATTCGGTAGTTTGTCAATGATGGTTGAAACTTATGATTGCTCATCTACACTTATTCTTTTAGAGCAAATGTCATGTGCAATCATTTGAAGTTCATAGACTTGATCCATCACATGCTTTTCTTTGTTCGATTGAAACCTAAAAAAATGATTGCAAACATATTTTTTGGATCTAGCTTCTTTGGTGTCATATTTTTGTTTAAAGCCTTCCAAATTTTCTTAACAAAAGAATATCCTTGATCATAATAGTCACGAAGCTTATCGGAAAGACAATTTAGTAAATAATTTCGATAATGACCATTATCCTTTTTCCATTTCTTCACTTTTATTTCATATTGAGCTATCTTTTCATCACTCATATTTTTGATTTTTTTTCTTAAGATTTTTTTTTTAATTAAGACCTAGCTCACATTCAATAGACTAAGGTAAAATAAAGTCTTTTGCCTCTTTTTTTGAAATTTGCACCATAAAAGCGTAAGGGTTTGTTAAGGTCACCCACTCCAGTGGAGATATGTACTCTACATATTAGTGTTTTCCATTAGCAAGTATAGTCTCAAAATGATGAAAAAATAAAAGAATATTACCCGAAATTTTTTAATGAAAAAAAAAACAAACCAACTTTATCAAAATTTTATAAATGACTCGTCACAAGACACAATCATGTTGCTTTTTGAGATGGTTGTGTCTTGTGACAATAAGCATTGTTTATAGAATTTATCCGATGTAACAGATCAAAAAAATGTTACATGTCGTCCTAAGAATACAACAAGCTCGGTGATCTTGTTGTATCTTAATAAGTTTGCATTACTTGTAAAACTTAAAACTCTATAAACAAAACTACCACCACCCTTACCAAAAGAAAATTTAACAAAATAATATGGCTTTTTAAATGGGAGAATAAATAAGACAATATGAAAAAAAATTCTTAAGCAAATTATATATGATTGTTGTATTTTTTTCTTATTTTTTTTCTATAACCAATATATCTTCCACTCCTTCCAAAACGATCGGAACAAGCAAATATATAGAGGCAAAAAAATAGCCTTTTAAAACAATTAAAAAATAAATAAATAGCTAACGGCAAGAAATGACTGTTTTGAAATTGAATGCAAGAATTTATAACCAAACACTTATATTTTTTAATGACAACAAACGGCAGCCTTGCTTGCATTTTAATGTCCAAATGAATGTTTTGAAACAATACATGTTACTGTTTCAAAATAATAACTTTTATTTTTTTCCCAAAGTAATTAATATAATAAAAAAATATTTTATAAAAATACTCCAACAAGAACTAAAGTGAGTAGTACATATGGTTAGTCGTAGTACATATGGTTAGTCAAGCTTTTCGCCAAGAAAACTAAAAGAATAAATGGATCAAACCTGCTTATTTATTTTAATTTATTTAAAAATTAGTTTTTAAATTTCTAATTTAGGATTTGTTTTCTTTTTAGCTTTAATTTTTTTAGAATTAATTAATCGTATGATTTTTAACTACCACTATTCTTTTTTTAAAAAAATAATTATTGATATTTTGATATGACATTTTATATACATCGAAAAAAATCAATTGATTTTTCAAAAAAATAAAAATCCATGATTTTTCAAGATTGGGAAGCATTTTTTTTTTATGTTCTGAATGTTAAAAATATAAAAAAAATTGAAAAAATAAAAAATAATTGGAATGATCTAATATTTTAAAAAAAAACCCAAAATAAATTTTACACAATATTTTGATGATGAAACTATTTATATGATCGTTATTTTTTTAAAAAAATTAAAGAATGAATGAAATCTATATAAAAAAATTTAAAAGATCACATACGAAATTAAAAATTTTAAAATTAGTTTTAAAATAGATTAAAATTCAAATGAGGTTCGACTTATTTAGCCAATCTAAAACACGCATACCAGTTCCGAAACAAAAGGGGAGACCGAAGAGGGTAAAAAGTAGAAATTGTGGGGATTTGGGTAAAACAAAGCAAAGCACGCCAAATGTAACGCAGTTCCCGGAGCTCAAATAGATTGTAGAGGCGTGAGAGCAAAGGCTGGCAAGTCCCCACCCTCACCCACCAAAATTTTGCTTTTATGCACTAACCATTTCCATGCTAAACCCATTGCACTTCTTTTAATTAAATCACCATATGGAATCTCATAATTACCACACAATCAAAACTTGTTCAGGTCTAGCATGATTCAAATTCTGTGCTACGATAACTAAATCGAATGGGGGGCGTCCATATCATTCACCAATTCTACCATAACTATTTGGTATGGAAAAGATGGATATAAAATCATAGTTAGGGCTACACAAATCAATGTTGTCGCCTCCTAACATAACCGCTAGCCATTATCCCAATGAGCAGCACCCTGCACTTCCAATAGCGACTTGCTACCTATTGATTATTGAGTCTAGCTAATGATGCTAGTTGACACTATTAAAATCCAAAAAGAACAAAGGAAATGTGGAATACAAATTGTCCTTTTATTAGTTTAAATTTCAGCGCTTTTTTAAGAGATTGCACTCCCTGCCATCCTCTTTCTATTCTTCTATTCTCACCTGGACCATTTCAAACTCCAATGAAAGATTCCATCTCTTTGTGGCTTTTTTTTCTTTTTTTATTGCAAGGACTTAATTTTAAGATAAATTAAATAAGACCCACTAATTGTGTAGTGACCGAAACAACCCAGGTTGTGGTATCTGGTAATTGATTGTCCCTGTAAGCAATATAGAAAGTTGCCACTGAAAAAAATTGTTAGAATTCAATCAAACACAATGGGGATTACTTGTAAATTACAATGGAGGCCCTGCTCTAACTAAGTATATCCTTCAAATCCAAGAAATTATTTCATTCTTTTGAGATTACATCTAGCAATTTGTACTTTTTGTTTTTCAAGGAGGCCTGGATATGTGCAGGTGAATCAATAATGAATGGAGAGCAAAACGAAAAACCTGGAGGGGTCCCATTGAAACTTCAGCCTCACCAAGACCACTGTTAATATTAATGTTCCTTTGATTTGAAGGAGAAACAATGCTAGACGCGAAGCATTCAAAACCAGGTGGCAGAGCTAGCCTTTAATGGAAAATGACTTGACTAGATTGAGTGCTAACTAATTTATACTACATTGATGCAAAATAATTAAGTTTCTGTTTAGGGCAGATGGATGGTACGCCTGAAATGAAAACTGATGATGAATTTTAAACCACCCGCTTTCTCTAATCAAAATGGCCACAACAAGGTCAGAAGGAGAAGGAGAAGGGGAAGCGTAAAAAAAAAAACACAGTTTATTGTGGGATCTACCAAGAAGAGAAGAAATGAAAATGACTGACACTAAGAAAAATAAAATCAATTTCAAATTCCCTTTGTTGACAGGTGATCTTTGATCATCTATTGAATCACGGGGCAATATAGATTGAAGACAGGCAACTTCGGTGATCGATAAGTTAAATTAACAAACCGAAAAACGATATTTGATCATTATAATTTTCTTTCTCGTTGAATATAGAGATCAATTTGCAAAATGTCATCACCAAGACTAAAAAGAATCGTCGATTCCGGGGTTGATGTGACTTGAAAAATTAATTGGGGAGTCCAAAATCCAAACAAAGCCATAAATACTTTATTTATTTGAAAAAAAGTCAACACCTGAAAAACTATACCTTATCATATATGATTTTTTTTTTAGGTTAACTAACATCTGGGAAAACTCTTTTGTCACTCCAATTAAAATTAATCTTCACGACCATACTTTTCTAAACCCATTGAAAATTATATAAAATCAGTGTACACAACATAAACGAAAAGGGGCATTTAAAGGTGTTCGTAGGTGACAACATTAAATTAAAAACCAAATTTCCTTAAGTTATGGACATATAAAAGATGTAGTAATTATATTCTTGAATTCGCTAGTCCATCTCCCTCTCAAAAATATTAATAATGATCAAGAGGTGACAACAATAAATTAAAAACCGCCAAATCAAGCCATTCTTAATTAGCCTTAATACAAGTTTACCTTCCAAAATTCAAAACCCAACATTTGTACAAACTAGTAAAAAAAAAAAAAGTCACCTGAACCGAGTCTCTTTTAACTTTCAGAAACGAAATAAAGCAACGTTTGGTTTTTTGTTTTTGGGTCTATTCTATTTCTCACTTCTATCTCACGTCAGGAAAATCAAACTAAACAAACAAAAATAACACACGTGAGCAATCAGATACGGCTAAAACCCACTGATTTGCACCTTGTATTTTTTAAAATCTGTAAAACCAGTTATTTTATGTTCAATTTAATCCATTAAATACATGTATTAGATACGACTTTGCAAAATCAATTATTTTTACATGTTAATTCAGTTAAAAAAATAATATAACTGCAAACAATGAGACCCATATGCTGTATTTATACACATATATATTATATTTTTATTTGATCTAACATATAAAAATTATCAGTTTTGCAAAATTATAATAAAAAAAACTGAAATTTAAATATATATATTTAATTGATCAAATTAGATATATAAGAGCTTATTTTACGGATTTAAAAGAAGAGAGGGTGCAAATAGTGGATTTAGCCATCAAAGATCAACCCTATGTAGGCCATTATCGTCTTTTCAGAAACAAATCCCATGGCCATGAGAAAGAGTAACCGGCGGCAGAGGCCAGTTGTTTTAATATCGCGCCATGTCCCTTCCATTCCACTCTTTACATTACATAATACTCCTTTGTCAAGGAAGTGAAACACCAAACACAACCTCAACATCAACAACACATAAAACTCTAGCCCAAGAAGTTCAAGATAGAGAGACAAACAAAGTCAAGAATCCGAGAAATTCTCCCTCGATCGTGTTCTCTTTTCTAGTCCTCTAACATCACAGCAAGTATTTGGTTTGTTTCTAGAAAGGTCGAGAAAGAAGATCCAATTGGTCTGGAGGTTGGTCAGTTCAATGGCGAGCGGGTGGGTTAAGTCATTACAATGTAAGTCGAGAGCATTTGATGATGTTTTTAACCCGAACCCGAAACACTTATTACCCAGTTCCAGTTGCAGAAAAACCTCTTCAAAAATCATCAAAGATGTCATTATTGAAACTAAAACCAAGAAACCAAAACCTAAACACCATTTTAATCAAAACCAACAAAAACCCATCACGAATCCCAAGCATGAACCGGTTTCAACACCTCCATCGCGTTCTCGGTCAACCCGCAACCCTGACCAAGTTTTCCCTGCCCTCACCGAGCTGCCTGAGGGACACCCTTCAAGAAATGTGGTAGAGATCATATTTCACACGAGTTGGAGCAACAAATCATTTCCGGGTCGGATCGAGATGATTTTTAAAGTGCAAAACGGGTCAAGAACGGTGACCCGATTTGAAGAATATCGAGAAATTGTTAAAACAAGGGCCGGGCTATCGGGTGGGACCACGTGGGAGGAGAATGCAAGGTGCGTCGCGGATGGAAACGAGATGATGCGGTTTTACTGCTTGGGTCCTGCAGGAGGCGTACATGACGAGCGTGGCGTTGCGTGGGTTTTCCCTGGTAAGAAAGGGGCAGCGGTTTGCACGTTTTCCGGCAGTGGAGGAGCTCATGATAGCGCTGGTGGTGGTAGGGGAAGGAGAGCGATGCTTGTTTGTCGGGTCGTGGCTGGTCGAGTTACGAATCAAATCCGGTTTGATTCGTTGACTGATGACGGTCGGGTCGGGTTTGACTCGGTGAGTGGGAATAATGGCGAGTTGCTGGTATTTGATAGTCGTGCAGTGTTGCCTTGTTTTCTTATTATCTATAAATTGTAAAAATACGTGGAAATTATTTTCTTTCCTTTATTTTTTGGCAAGTGCATTTTTTTTTTTAATTTGGTGCATTTATCAACACAATTTTTCTTTATTTCTTGAATTTTCAAAAATTTTGAGCTGTTGATATATGTTTGTGTGTGTGATTGTGAGGGAAATTGGGTTGATAAATGCTAATTAACGTACGTACCGTTTCTGATTAAATGTACTAATTGTTATTGATTGCTCATTAACCATTCTACCAAATGTTGTTCATCCGTAACTTTTTCTTTTGCGATTAAGAGAGTTTGGTTGATGATTTGTTACGCTGTCTACCCAAATATTTGTTAGAGCTTTAATGCTGATTGACAACAAGAGAAGGTAAAGTGGGTGTAATTTTTTATTTTTTATTTTTTTAAAAAAACTGAGATTTGATTCTACTAGTTTGTGGCCTAGCAGAGTTTAGCTATTTGCAAAATGATGCCTTTAATATGAGAATTATAATGTAATGGTAATAATATGTAACTTTTGGATTTCTTGTAGGATTGCTTTGTTAAAATAATAATAATAATAATAATAATAAGATTTTTGGCAACAGAAGACATTGTTGGCTTTCTAAAGGGGATGCATGCTGTGGTTCCATATTTAGCGGTGACTCGATTGGAAAAGGCATTGACTGTTTGGTGTCATCGTTTTAAGTTCAAAAGTCGGATGCCACATACAGGCTTTTAAGAATTTCAACTGTAATGTTTTGGCACTTTTTTTATTTGTGATTCCTTTTCTCTTTCTTATTTATTTATTTATTTTTATTTTCATTTAGAGGACCCTTTGTGAAAAAGTTGAAAATTTTATACAGATACTCACATTTGAAGAATGACTTCACATTTCACTATTTCAGATTATAGTAAAAGCTTCAATTGGATTTGCAATCGTTTTTTTCTTTTTCGAACAAAATTGTTTTAGCCGGGCCAGTTATCTGGAATTAAATTATAAAATAATTCTTTTTAATTATAAGAAATGAATTAATTAATTTCTCTCATTTTAAAAACTCATTATTTAATATTTTACATTTTAATTTCATCAATAATTTAGTTTTTTACTCAGTTATCCATTAGATTAATAATTTTATTTTCAGACTGTTTTTTTTTTTTTTTAACTTTTTTTCTCTCATACATCTACTTATTTTCTCTCTTCAACCAGGAAAAAAAAACAATTTGACAGTAAAAATCATTGATATAACAAAAAAAATTAATGAAGAATTAGTTATTGATACAATTGAAAAATTAAATACTAAATGATTAGTTTTTTTTTTTAAATAGAACTAATTAATTTATTTCTTAAAAAAAGATAGACTATTTTATAATTAACTCCTTGTGTAGTAAAAAATTTGAATAGTTTCAAAATTATAAATAATAATAATAATGACGACGATAATGTAACCTCACATGATACAGCTTAGAAATGCCTTCAAATTAATACAATCATCATCATCCTCATCATCTAGCCAAAATTGGCGGTGATGTAATCGACTTTCGTTCTCTTTCTACCGATAACACTTGATTACAAGTATCTTATAGTGGACCAAAATGAAAAGAAATGACATAGCCTTTGTAATTCTTGTGAAAATAATTAACCGTAAAGCGATAAATATTCGAATATATATATATATATATATATTAAAAGTAAGTATAATTCTCATTATATCATAAGAAATTAATACTTAAAATATATGATTTATGTTAAATTAAAGTTATTGTGCTTGAGATTAATAGTTTAATTATTAAAGAAATTAAATATGCAAAATCAGTGTTTTGAGGACTATATTCTATCCGAAATTTTGTGTGATTTATTCAAGGACTTTAGAGTGATTTATGAATAAAACTTAAAGAATAAAAGTTGTTCACCTATGAATCTACAAGCTCTCTGCAAAATTTCATAATTTTTAGATCTATATATAAAGAGTTATGGCCATTTTAGTATAGGCTGGTCTTGAAGCATTATTGCTTGGAATATTTTAGGAAAGAAAAGTCCGAGTTTAGGGAGAGGAATTTCTGAAATTTAATGGAAAGAACTGTGTTTAGTTACTTAAACTAGATTAGTTAGGGTTTTTAGTTCCTTTAACCAATTAATTAATTAGGACACCTAAACCCCCTAATTAACGAATTAAAGCCGACTCACCCTAAACCCCTCAAACCCGTCACTCTCTCTCTCTTGACTCACCAATAGCTTTCCACTCTCCCAAATTAAATTCAGCCATTTGTACCCTTAATTATACTAATACTCGAGCATGTATATATATATAGAATGAGTGAAAGTGGTAAGAAATTTTAGGTAGCCCGTAGCTACCCAAAAAGGAGAGAAAAACGGTAAAGAAAGAGAGGAAGAGAAAAGGAAAAGAAAAAGAAAGAAGAAAGAAAAGAAATAAGGGGAAAGCCTAACCAACCTTTAGGAAATTCAAGCAAAGTAAGTATGTTCCATTTTTGGTTGATTAATGTTTTAAGTTATCTTTTTTTTTAGTGTTTATTTCATGGGTTTGTAATAATTTCAATGGTTTGCTATTGTTGTTTGTGTTGGTGTTAGGGCTTGCTAAATTGTGATGGATTTATATGTTTTTGTTGTGATGCAAAGCTTGTTTGATGTGTTTAAATGTGTGGATGGTTTGGAAAGAAAAAAGAAAAAAAAGGGTATGGACCGAATGGATTGAAGTTAAACTAGGTTTGGTAAGCTTAACTTGGAAAAGAAAAGAAATACACTTCTAGAGTTTCTCTAGGTTAAAACCATTCGGCCAAGTGGAAAAAATTGAAAAAGAATGGATCTTTGTGGGGCTAATTAAGGGTCTAGAATATCATGGTAACCCAATTAGTTATGGATTAATTGTTGAGGGTGGAAATGAATTCGGTAGATATAAAAGGCAATCCATGGCCACCTTAAAACTCAATCGGTCCAACTAAAAAGGAAAAATAGGGTTTTGGATTTCATTAGGTAAATTGGATACTTGATGGCTAAATTTGGTTTCCTTTATGAACCTTAAGGTTTAGATTTCCTTGGTAACTTTTAAGTATGATTTGGTAAGTTAGTATAAAAAGGAATTGACCTAGAAATGGAAAAACAATTCCTTGCTCATTTAAGGACACATTTGGCCTAGATCCATAAATTTTAGGGATTTAGGTTCTCACCTTTCGAATTTATAACTAAGGGTTAAAATACATTTAAACAAACGTAAAATGAAATATTGAAGGGATGGTGACCTAAGGAAAAACCAAAAAGGGACCTAGACCCATTATGAGTCAACTTCGACCATTAAGATTAAAGATTTGGATTAAACATAATTTCAGCTTAAGTATGTCACACATACATCCTTAGGATTAACCGGTCTTGTAAACTAAGTAATACATCGAAAATCCGAGCATAGACTTGCAAGGTACACGAGAAGGAAAAACTCGAAAGTATGAAGTAGATTTATGCAATGAATGAAATTCGCATTCTTGTTTTGAATACTTTGAATGGTACATGAAACACATGTGAAGTCTCGAGTGTGCGTTGGACGTGAGAATGGTCCGAGAAGAAAATGTTGATAGCATAATTAGTTGAATGTGTTAAACATAATACCATGTGCATCACATGCATTCAAGGGTGATATGAAATCGAGAAAAACCATGTGCGTGCTCTATTACTAACACCATTAAGCGAGAGATAATTCTACTAACCGTGTGCTACAACGAGGAGTAATTCCATCGTGAGCAGTAGGTGATAATGAGATCACTAAGAGAGAGTAATAAAGCGATAGGTGATAACATGATCACCGAGAGAAGGAACGCATGGTTTTGCTAATACCTAGGGTATCCGGATTAAAATGGATGGGTAGAATGGAAAACGAACTACATTGCATATCACGTGCATCACCCTACTTATCGAGCTTTGTCTCACCCCATTATTGTTTTCATGTTACGATAGGAACGAGTCAAAGTAGTCGGGATGCTATCGGGTCTTCCAAAAAGCTCACGTGTGACACAAATGTATCGAAATTTCTTTTGGTCGTGATTTTAAGGTTAGGGTGTCGATAAACATTTTAATAGTATTGTAACTAAACTTTGTAATTTCTTTCATTGTCTTACCGATATTATGTAAATTATCTTGTACGCATTTTATCGTATAATAAGTCTTTAATATATGAGCACATACGTGCTTAAGGTTAAATGGTCCATTATGTGAGTTGATAGTGAATAAACTTACTCCCTTATAGGTTCTAAATATCTTTCTTTTTTTAGAAATTAATTTTCTTGACACACACTTCACATATGGATTACTTAGTTATGGCTAAATAGCTCAAACCTTTTCTAAACTCTAATTTATTTTAAATTGAGTCCCCGAACTTTAAATTTGATTTCTAGAATTTCCGAACTTTTATTTTTTTGAGATTTAGGTCATTTAATAATTTTTAGCTATCATTCTCTCATCTAAAAAAAATCTTGGTATTTTAAATTTAGAATTTGGACGCATGTTGAGGAAAAATCCAATCCATTTTCTTCAAAAATCCTAAAATTTTTCAAAATCAAAAAGTATATTATTTTTTTTTAACATTAAAAATATAAAAAAATTAGAAAAAATAAAAAATAATCCAAAATGATCTTAAATTTTTTGAAGAATTTTATATAAATCGACTAAACGATTTTCAACATGAAGTTATTCATGTGATTGCTTATATATATATATATTACAGTGCATGCAGTACTTGTTTTATTTAAAAAACAAAAAATTTATATTTTTGTATTTTCACATAAAAATAAGGTTAAAATATATATGATGGGTTGAGAATTATCTTGGCTTTGTATCTTATATGACGTAATACCATAAATATTATAAAGATTCCCTACATAATTTTATTTTGACTACCTCTACAAATAAAGTTGAAATAAAATTAGTTTTTTTTTGTATGATTAAAATAAATATAAAATCAGATATTAAAATTAAAAAAATGTTGAATTAAAAATCCTAATGATTTTTTTTGATTAAAAAAATTATTAAATATCTATAGTTGAAGCCTCTTTCAAAATTTCAAGAGAAAATAAATTTGATAAGTTATCGGATGTCACACACTAATATTTGTATTTTAATATCTTGAAATTGTAATGCATTTTTCTACGCAATTACTATCATAGTTATGAATTCATCAGTTTCTCCTCGAGGCTCTACTAATTTTTAGTACAATAATAATAGCATCAGCATTACATTGGAGCTAAATTGAAATTAACAAATATAAAATAAAATAATAATAGCACAAAAAGCCCCTCCTCCTTCTTGGCAGCAGCTCCTCTTTGGTAACCCATTAAGTTTTTTTTTTTTTTTTTAAAAATTTTAATTTTTTGTTAATTGTTGCTGTTGATAATAATTTATTAATTAGTTTAATTGTTAATTTTTCTTGGTAATTGTTTATTGTTGTTGTTCTTAATTATTTATTAGTTAATTATATTGTTAGTTAGTTTAGTTGTTAATTGTTAGTTTAATTTATTTTGTTATTATAAGTAATTGTTAATTAATTTATTTTTTTGTTAAAATAATTATTTAAGTGTTAGTATAATAAATCAAGTGTTAAATAATTTTGATTTATAAATTTGTTAGTGAAATTAAGTTTATTTGTTGGTATTTAAAAAATTTAATTGTTAATTGTTGTTAAATAAGTGATTTATTGGCTAATTGTTAGTTAGTTTAATTTATTTTATTATTATAAGCATCTGTTATTTGTTAATTAATTTAATTTTTTTAAATAATTATTTAAGTGTTAGTTTAATAAATAATGTTTTAAATAAATTACATTTAGATGTTAATTGTTAGTTAGTTTATTTTATTTTGTTGTTATAAGTAATTGTTATCTGTTAATTAATTTAATTTTTTTTAAAATAATTATTTAAATGTTAGTACAATAAAGTATGTGTTAAATAATTTTTTTTGAAATCCAATATAAAATAATTATTTAAATAATGATAGCATCAGCATTACATTGGACCTCAATTCAAGACGAGGCTATATATCTGTAATTACAAAGTGTTTTGTGGCATTGTCTCTATGCTATCCTCCGCGACCAGACAGCAAAGGCAAGCCAACCAAGAAATTCACTAGTCATGTAATTCTGAATCGATAATGGGTGTTTATCCAGTGACACGTAACCTTGAATTGCATGGAAGAAGGGAGGGATCTTGATCCACAAGCGTTGCCCTTAATTAAACCACCCTTAATATCAACGACAAGTGTTACTTGAGAAGCAAAGTGAAAAAAGTGATGGCAAGATTCACCTTACATTCGTGCAACGTGGCAACTGGCAACGCCTAATTTTGTTATGATTACAATAATGCCTAGTTTAGGAATAACTTATCTTATACTCGTCACCCTTGTTGAGAATTACTCAAGTTTCCTTTCTTCCTTCTACTTGGTTGTTCTATACTTCTGTTCTCCAACTTTAAAGAAGTTGAACAATTACTTCCCTTGGGAGAAAATGAAAGGCAGGTAGACGGTGAATGGTCTACATCTTTGACGAACACTCCTCATCCTATTCTTGCATTAATCTAATACTAAACCTATGGCCCCCCTATCATAGAAGTACCGCCAAGTTGTTTTGGTAGTTTTAAGCAAAGATTCTAACTCCATAGCCGACGTACGTAAATTTCAAAGATTTCCAGTTTAGACTTTTGAGGTAGAATTAAATCTGAATTCGAGAAGTACCTGTCGATCCAGTTAGATCCTATTGGAACCAGAAACTGATTGAGACAAATTCAAGGGGCTTCCATGTTGCATTGCGAGATCTCCTAGGCACAAGTACGCCTCCAGGTGGATCGTATGAGCTTAAGCTACAACATGGAATATTATTATTGTTTTCAAGGTCAATCTAACCTAGCTCAACCCCACAACGACTTGAAAGTTCGAAGCATTTAAGCAACGATAAGCACAACACAGCACAATTTCAGCAGCTACAGAAGGAGAGACCTAAGACCTACCTAGCTAGGGGGCTTGGGTTTCAATTTTCTGCACATTCATTAATAGGGAGTTGGTAGCTTGAACTTCCTAATTAAAAAACATTAGGCCCATCCCAGCGATTGGGAGGAGCTGTAGCTAACTGCAAAAGCTACTCAGCCTCTCTGGTTGAGGTAAGGGAACCAAGAAGACCAGCTGCGTGTTTACAAAGATGTTGAGCATGCAAAAACGAGGAAACTTGCATTCTTCCTTGAAACCAAGCCCTTCACATAAATTTGATGTTTCTACGTTACAGGGAAGTGTCTCAACCACCCACCATGATTTATCAAAATTCACTACTCGTCAAAACAATCGGGGCTAAATGGAAGGCAAATTCCAGCTGAAAAATAACCAATGATATCCCTCTAATGTACATTTGTCATTCTGCATCATCACAGGAGAATTGTATCATCTGCCATGATTAATGGGACTCAATGAGCACATATAATGGCTTGCCATTCAATCTCTCGCGACCCTACAGCATCAGACCATAAATGAGATAACGGTTAATGTTACAAAATTCAAAAACACATGCATGTATGTGAATTAACGTACTTGTAAACAAAACTAAAAGCATAATTAAGGTGCAGCTGCAGTTTTTGTTTTGCAGTCATAAAAAATAAATTAACATCCTGCTCACACGACCGATAATTCAAATAGCAAGCATCAAGTAAACTTAAAAAGGAGAGGTAACAATATCTTGATACCATATTTCACTGCATTGAATCTACATGCCAGTTTCAAAGTATCAAATCAACCCAGCAAAAGATAAGCAGCACTAATATTCTATTAACGTTAGAATTTAAGAGTGACGCCCCATTGCCAAAAGAAAAATTTGGGAAAAACATTGGCATGCATTGACAAAATACTGCTTTGGGCATGTCTCTGTAAACTCATTATTTTTGGACACAGCAAAGCTTCTGCAAAGACACAATTAATGTTCTTAAATGGTCATCTACAACCCTCGGAAGGTTCTTTCCTTAGTGAAGAATACTCACTCCTTATGAACCCTCTTCTATTGGACACCATGAAGTCAAAAATTTACTATCACAAAGGACTGATTTACTTTTGGATGAAACTGGAAGTTTTCATCGTTTCCACAGAAAGTGATAACCAAAAGATCTCCTCTTATGGACAGTATTGGAACAAAAAGCTTTCATCACCAAGCAAAATCTGCAGAAAACATGCTTAGGCCTATTAAATAATCCAGGCCAATTTGCCACCGACTTTCAAAGGTACCACTAAAAAATTATTCTCAAGATCAGAAATTCTCATTCAGGGAACTCTACTTTTAATAATTATGATTTCCTTGAAAATCTTGTAGTTGAACATCCAAATCTTTAATTGGGTTACGTCGGTAAAAGGCACATGAAATGAAATCAACAACTACACAGAAGCTGCCACCTAGAGACACAAGGAGTCCTAGGATGACCAAAAAAGTTCAGGCCATAGGTCAATAAGGCACTAGAGACGTCAGCTAAGAGGAAAGATTGTTCTTTTTACCTTTGAAAATTCTAAGATTACAAAAACATAGATCATCGGCTGTTGAACTATATAACCATATTCAGTTCAAGTAACTAAGATCATTGTGTGTGTGTGTGTGTTTGAGAGAGAGAGAGAGAGGCCAGACATTCATAGACATAGAAAAGCAACAAGGATATACAAATTTGTAGCATGATAAGCCCTATTTCTAACAGAAACTCCAAATATAAAGATTAACAACAAATATAGTTAAAAACAAGAAAATAGAGAAGCATACACACCTTCAAATCTGGCAATTCAATTACACATGCACATTCAACTACTTCTGCTCCAGCACGTTCTGAAAGATAATTTGGTCAAGCCATACACTTATTTAGGACAAAGATTTGGATAATATACAAACAAAATATATTACTAGGAATTGGACCATGCTTCAGCAGAATTTCCGACAATGCAGTTACTAAGGAGACAAATTTAACAAACAATAAGTCATTGATCAGATCAAGAAAAGATTACATAGAAGGAACTTCTCTATCTCATGGGAAGCAGTAAACCCCTGGTGAAAATTGTTATTCATTTGTTTTTTTCGAGGACAGCAAAACTTGCGTTTCTAACTTATCATGTGCATGAATGTACTGTTTATGAAGACATGAACAGGTATGGAACCAACATTTACAATATGTATTATGCAGGTGAAAGCATCACTCCTTCTGTAGAATATTCCATTAAAACTTGTTTATCATTCACTTCCAGATAGCATGTTTCATTGCTAGTTTATTCTGATTGATTGAGATTTTCAATGTCCCACATGAGTTGACCGGAAGCTGAATTGTATTTCATCAAACATAAAAATCTTTTAATTTTTTTTTCTTCATTGTACTCTATCAAATTTAAGAATGATTAGGTCACCTTTATATATATATATATATATAAGCATGAGTAGGATATTCGCATGAACTATCATACAAACACAGCCCATGTAACAACTAAAAACACATGCATGAATCTTAAGTCTTTAACAAGAAATAGGTTTACCAAGTAAATTCATAGCAGCACACAGAGTACCGCCAGTGGCAATCAAATCATCAACCACCAAAGCGCGTTCACCCGGTTTGACTGCTCCAACATGCATCTCAAGACAATCTCTTCCATATTCTAGAATATACTCTTCTGAAATAACTTCACCTGTCAACATGGCAGTAATTATTAATAAGATTATAATCAGAGAAAATACGCATCTAGGTGTCACATAGAGCATCTTTGAAGCTGAGATTTCAAGTACATAGAAAACAGACACATCTACAGAATTCAATGACACTGATACTTCATGTGTCTGAAAGGTTCTCCGTTGTGACAGATACTATGAACATTGAAAATTGATGCAGACAAACTCACTCCTCACAATTACGCTAGCACAGTGGGGAGAAAAAAGAGAAAAGAAAATATGTCACTGAAGCACTTATAAAAATATCAAAGTTGTTGGGTGGCTAACAGTGTGAAGAAGACAAAGGCATTATGTTAAAGCGGTAACAATATCAACTGTGAGGAACATATTTCGCATTCTAATGCATAATGGTCATCCATTGTCACCCCTAATCCAAATAAGACAAAGCCATTAGATACAAGGAGTGCTGATTTACCAAATGGACCAGGACTGGAGACCGCAGGTCTATACCACATGGTACACACAATAACTATCGCTTTTAGCAACTATAAAAGCATATAATTAGATGCAAATCAGTGATTGTTTATTGCTCCACATGAGCGTAGCTCCTATAATGTATAGTTCAAAGAATAGTGCCAACATCCTCAGCATAAGCAAGAGGGTTGAGGTCTCAGGTTCGAATTCGACCTTTGTCGATTTAACTTTAATAAAAATTGAGAGGTGATATAAAAGAAAAAAAAAGTCAATATCAATTGCAGAGTCCGAGAACATGTAGGGAAAAAGAAAAAAAATCCAATACAGGGACCAAACAATCTACGATCATTATATCAGGGGAGTGGCTAGCTATTTATCATGAGAATGCAAAGTACATCTAGAAATATAAACATGTTCATGCCACTGTAGAAAGCTTATTAGTAAAGAGATGCGGAGTACCAGGCAACTTCCTTGGTTTTCTCAAAGGAACAAACTTTGCTCCAATTGCCAATGCAATGGGAGGTCCAAATATAAATCCCCGAGCCTCTATTCCTGAAAAAAATAATTGCTCACGTTTTAGGAATACATAGACTTTTGATATTTTCCAACTTGACTAAAACGCAAAACGAAACAAATGTACTGGTCCAAATTTCTGAAACGCTTAACAGAATGTTGTGCTCTTTAATTAGATAAGACATCAGTCTTGTGCGTGTGTGTTGGGGAGGAGTATCCATTAATTATGCCTTCGAATCTTGAAGTAGTACCTCACATGGAAACTACTCAAAGTCAAAGAATCCTGACTCCTTGTAAAGAATAATAAAAATAATAATAAACAGTAACAGTTAGCAAATTTGAACATTGTGGTAGCAGTTAACAAAATTTGCAAGAGAACATCAGAGGGCAGACTGCAAGGCATCGTGTCATGAAACATAAAAGTTGAATGATTCGACACAAAAGCTAGGACTGGCTAATGATTCCTGACGACAAATTGTTATTATCAGAACTTCTATCAAGGAAAAAGAATTAAATTAGCTGCAAAGCATTACACATACAGTTTTTGAAGACTCCAAAAAAACACCTAAAATTTAATGAATAGGAGTTTTTAAGAAAACAACATAAATCATGAGAATATGATTATCTTAACCTCAAGTGGCAAGAGCCAATGTCCATAATACTGAATGTGACATACACATGTACTGGCATTGGATAAGCTAGATCTCCTACTAACCAAACCCTATGAGCACATGCACTAGAGTCAATGTCCATCAATAGACTAGTGATAGATAAGAAAACACAGATAATTATCTGGCAAGGTAAAAGGCCGAAACTTTTCCATGGGAAACTTAATCTCTAAAAGAATATTACATTAATGTATAAAGTTCCACATAAACAGAAGAAGACAAAATTCATCCACATGGTCTTATAAAGAGACAAAATCTGATGCACACACAAAGGGATAAAGCAAAGCACACTAAATGCTGAACAAATCCTTCATAATCGAAAAGCACAATCAAAATAAGGTCTAAGGGCACTATGAACGTGAGATCATGAAACCATTTCAACTTAGCACAAGTTTGCTATTATTTGTAAGTGTAAAACAACACATGACGTAGCAGCTAATCAAAATGCCTCATGACCAATTTAAGACACTACAGTTTCGGATTGAACATAAAGCAGTTAACCAAAAAGGAATACGACTATGGCCATCTTACGATATCACCCAATGCAGGTGAAAATACTAAATCCACGATAAGAAAGACGGCAGTTTGTCATTTAGAACTTCCCAACGCCAGATGCAAAACTGGCTACTGCAGAAGGAAATATATAAGGGTTGACATTCGGGAAAGTACTAAATCCACTACAAGAAAGACAGCAGATTGTCATTTAGAACTTCACAACGCCAGATGCAAAACTGGCTACTGCAGAAGGAAATATAAAAAGGCATGACTAAGAACTAGAGACAGTATAACTGAGGTAAGGGATCAACACAACAGTAAAATGAAGAAATCCACATTAGAACAGAGCCAAAAGAAGCCGGCCCATCTTAACTCAGCATCATTTGGGTCCACTTTTTTTAACAAGATGGGCATCTATCACCAACCACCATCCACCCAAATCAGATCCTAGCACATGCCCACAACAACTGACAACAGCAACAATAGAGAGAAGCTGCTAAAAGGGAAAAAAAAAATTAGCAGAGAGCAATCGATGGCACACCCCACTAACAAAGCCCATTAGTCAAACAAGAAATCACTTTCCAATAGAGAAGGGGGAAAAAAAAACACATATTAACAGAAAACATCACATACTCACACACAAACAGTCACTTCCATTTGGCATTTAAAGAGCCCATTAAAAGACCATTCATAAGAAATAAAAATAAAAAAGACAACCAGAAACTTAGGCAAAGGCAATGGTGCATTTTGCTCTGCAAGCAAAAGGATCCCGCCACCTTTAACCTCAAATCAAAGTGATAAGAAGTTGTTAAAATGCTTTAAATCAAATCTTCTAATTACACCTCAGAGAAAATGAAAATTTGCTAAAAAAAAATAAAAATAAAAAGCAGAAATGGGTATTTAACTCTTTCATGTGAGTTTTTACCTGCAACAACTGAAATGTTTTTGCCTTTGTATCTCTCAACAAACAAATCAATTGTGTCCTTGAATGCTTTAGGATCCAGTAATAGAGTGGTGATATCTTGAAACATAATACCTGCCATACTAAACTATTACTGTTTAAACTTTTAACTAAAAAAGAAGTATAGCCATAGATTCTCTGCTTTCCACTGGCAGTAGAGTGTGTGTGTGTGTGTCTTTAAAAAGAAAACAACAGTCTTGAATCTTGAAAGCCTAAACGTTTTTTTTATTTTTTTACCAAAAAAAAAAAAAAAACCTCAAACTTTTGGTGCCTTAAAAAATGAAAGAACAAAAAAAAGATCAAACAACTTCGTGAAATACTTTGAGCAATAGACTTCGTATGCAAAACCCAGTTGCAGTAACCTCCGTGGTAACCAATTCTTGAATCTTATAGTAAAATTCGAGATCATAACGCTATTTCCACTAAGTCTATTTTTCTCAGCTCCAAGAACCCACAAAAACAATGAGATTAACTAAACAAAAACGAAAAGGCAAAAAAAAAAAAAAAACAGAAGAAACCTGGTTTAGGAAAATTTGGAACAACACGAATCCTAGTTTTGATGCCATGAATACGAGGATCTTCATCTCTATAAGCCGACATTGTAATGTAGAGTGGCAGTGGTATTTTAAAAAATTTGATGTGTCTTGAATAATGATAATAATTCTATTCCGATAAAGAAAAGAAAGAAAGCCTGTCCGTGCGTGTCTTTAACAGGACTCTAGGTGTTTAAGAAAAAATGAGAGAGAGAGAGAGGGTGAAGGAAAGTGATGTATTTATAGATGGAGAAAGAGAGGGTGCTCTGTGCACAAGAAGGCAAGAGAGAGAAGATATGAAATTTTTTTTGATAATACCCCAGAGAAAAAAAAAAAAGGTAGAATCACGAGGTTCTCTAATTTTACTCTTTTTCTGTTTGTGCAGTTCTTTCTCTTTCCTTTCCTTTTATTGCTGTATAAATGACTCCGTACGCAGCTTCTGCTCGGTCTTTTGGGATCGGGCTCGCTTCTTTGACTCCAACACGATGTTTTGCGCATCTCTTGTTTTTTCAGATTACACTGTATCTTTATTATTATTATTATTAGGTTTAGACATCTTGCACTTGATTGGCTTACATTTTCTTCTTCTGAATTCATTTTAGGATTGAATTTAATATGGTAACTTAAAGAGACTTTTTCTTTAATTAGTATGCTCTCAGACTTAGGGTGTTCGAAATTCATCAGTTCGTACTCGTTGATCTATGGTCTAGCGACACCGTGCTCGTCGTGATTTTAGATCCCTTCTCTATAGAATTTAGAGCAAAGTAATACATTTTTACTTCCATTCACGTCGCTATTCCTAATTAACCAACTATTGATTGTAAATGATATATATATATATATATATATATATATATATATATATATATATATATATATATATATATCAATCGATTTGTTTTTCATATTATCTGAAAGGTGACTTTGACTCCTTTTTTATGACAAAAATGCAGCCCCATATGCAACACATTGAATGAATTATGGAACATAAAAATTCATGTTACAATCTCAAATAAGAAGAGGTCAAATGAATGCTAGGGATATTAAAAATAATAATAAAAATAATAAATCAACAATTACAATCATTCCATAATAAAATAAAATAAACATTCAGATTCTTCATCTCCTTAGCTCGAGAAATAACTTTTCTTTTTTATGATTTAAATTTGTGCAATATTTTTTAATAAATTAATTAATTAGGGTTTGTTCGTTCTATATATTTTTAATTGTTTTTTAATCAGTACTCGTGGCATTCATTTTAATTCTTATGTAAGAGCCATAACATGGATTTATATTTGAAATATATTTTTTATATTTTTTCCAAAATTATTTTGGTATTATATGTTTTGAGTGGTATTTTTGGGATTGCATAAAAAGTGACAAAAGATTAATAACTTGATTTTAAAACTCTAACAACGTAATATGAAAAAAAAAAATTAGGCATGTTTGGTTGTGTAATATTGTGGCTACTATGTTGTATGTTGTGTTGTACTGCGCTATGTCGTAAGTAGTGTTTGATAATAGTTTACTATATTATATTTATAAATGTTTAAAACAGAAATTATATTGTTGTATTTTTGACATATAAAATGATCAATAAGTATTGTAAGATAATAAAAGTATTATTTTTAAAAATATATTTTATTTAGATTAAATAATTTATAACTTTTAAACTTACATTACATATGTTTTTACTTTTTATAAGAACAATTCTTAAATTCAAAAAACTGAAAAAAAAAAAAGGAGTTAAATAGGACCACGATACATGCTCGATATATGTATATATACATGAGTGCATCATTTCAATAAAATCAATAATATAAAAAAAAATAGAAATTAAGTTATGTAAGACACTATTAATACACGACTACTAGCATCTTTAAGAAAACATATGTCATGTCAATTTTTTTAAAAAATAATAACATGGAGAAAGTTGTCATTTTAATTATATATAAAAAAAAATGTACTCGACAAGAAGCAGTTGTGCACTTGGTTAAAAGTAGGGGGGTCTGATGTTCTTTCCAAAAGAAGTTTGTTTTTTTATTAAAGTGACACTTATTTTGATTTTAAAGGCAAAACATGTATTAAGCAAACACTAAGCATTCGTGCTTTTAAAGCACAACAATACCTAACCAGCACTTTATATTACTCTAGGGATAATTATTATATGACAGGCTTTAAGAAGAGAGAAAATCACACACTAATCCATTAGAAATAATAAAAAATATATCTACCAAATTTTATGGAAAAGAAACTCAACATATAAATATAAATGCACCCATGCAACGGTTCAATTATTTATATTAGAATAGGAAGGTGGACTAAAAGATTCACTCGCATCCAGTATGAATTCTATGATTTACTACTGCATATAATTTAATCCCTAACGGATTTATCTAGTGATTAGGGAGGCGTGTTTTATTTTTTCTAAGTCAAACTTTAGTATCAATATTTAAAAAAAATTATTTATGTTAAATGTACTACGTCGATGTAAGAATTTAGCATCAATTGACTTGTAAGCTCATACAAAAATACTTTTTAAAACAAGTTACTATATGTGTTTTTTTATTAGTAATTAACTTATTATAACTTTAAGGAATAGACTTAGTGATTAATGAAGTTTACTTCTTCTCTCAACTTTTTGTTTTTAGATCTTGATGCCAGGATTGAAAGAATTTTATTACCTTGAGACGTTATTTGATAATCGAAATAAAATGATAAAAATGAAAATAAAAGTTTTATTCTCATATTATAGTTGTTTGGTTGAAAGGAATGAAGCGAGAATGAGAATGAAGAATGAAAATGAAAATTATACTCAACTTCATTCTTATTTAAAATTTGAGAATAAAAATAAGGAATGAAAATGAGAATGAATTTTTTTTTTCAAAATAATAATATATTTTATTTATTTATTATTTATTGATTATAACTACCATCACTACCACCGCAACAATCACCATTCTCAGTCACCTTTATTATTTTTATAATGATTATAGTTTGATAATATTATTTTTTAATCATTATTTTTATTTGTATAAAAAATCGGATATTAAAAAATTTAAATTATATTTCGATTCCTCATTATTATTTCCAACACGGTATGGGAATACAAATGTCATTCGATTCTCTAATTTTCATTTGATTCCCATATTCTCATTCCGGACTTTTCATTCCCGGTAACCAAATAACACTTAAATGTATTAGGTTGATGTGAGAGATGTCTCTTTAAAATATTTTAGGAAGTCACTTAGTATCGATTAACAAGCTTGTTCAAGGTAAAAAAAAAAACAATTAGTTTTACATGTAATGTGCATATTGATAAATATTTGGACCTCCAAAATACGCCTTTATGTTTTGGTTATACTGCTAAATGTGTACTTGTCATGAAAAGTTGATAATTATAACACAAAGAGATAAGTTTATCCCGTTTCTTGATTTTATTGATTCAAATATCAAGAGCACTGTTCCTTGATATATCCAATTTATGTGAATGCACAAGACCGACCTAAAAAATGATTTTTCAAAAAATTATTCAAAGAAAGACTTAGTCTTGATTATCGAGCAAGTTGGTTTAAATATTTTCTTATCATAAGGTAGAAAAAAATATCTCTAATTTGTAAATATAATGTGAGAATACAACATACACAACCAAAATAGACAAAAAGATGACAAGTACCTTTAATGTTTGCTAATATGACATGTTCATATGAAATAATATTTTACGTAGTTTGCTCTTTGTGATATTTGCACTTTTTTAGCTATTAGAGAAATTTAATCTAACTTTAAAAATAATTAACAATACTTACTAAATAGGACATAAAAAAAAAAAAAACTAGAGAATTAACCAAAAAAAGAATTTAAGTGAAAATATTTTTATCATTTTTTTTATGAAAATGTAATTTTAAGAACGAACCAATTAACTAAGCAGTTACTTTTAAAAATTAACTGGTTGTCATGCATTTAGAAATCATGTTTCAACTCCCGTTTGGAAAGTACGGTCTCCATTCTAGTTCGAGTCATTGCTTTAACATCGGTACCTAAATAATTCTTCCAAAAGACATTACAAAAAATTAATCATTTAGTGATGCTTCAGACCATTGCTAAATGTAAAAAAAAACCATCATTAAAAACCTTCTAGCTAATTAATTAGCGACGATTTTTAGAGTTTCGACTCTAATTTAGAGACGATTTATCCGTCACTAAAAATCGACAAAAAGGCCACTAATTTAGTGACAATTTTAAAAAAATATCGCTAAATGTAGCTTCTATTTAGCGATGGTTTACCTAAACCGTCGGCTTACCTAAATTGTCTTTAATTATGGCAATAATTAGCTTGGATTTAAATATGGATTTAAACCATCGCTAAATCTTTTTTTAACAATATTTTTAGTCAATTATTTCATTATTCACATGTTGCTAATAAGAAATATAGAATCAAATCTAATTTAACAATTACAATAACGGTATGGAATAGAATTATAAAAAAATACGAATCGTTATAATATATAAAATCCAATTTAATAAATATTCAAAGGGTTTACCCCATAATTGGTCCCCGTACAGCTTTTAATTTTTTTGATTGAGACTTTCTATTATTTTTCAACTTGATTGAAACCCTCTACCCTTACAAATTTATCGATTGAGACCTTCCGTTATGACATCGTTAACTATTCATCATACGTGATAATTTAAAATTAATAGTAGCCAATCGGACAATGACACAGGGCAATGTGGACCCTTTTTCCCTTTCACTTCCTTTCCCTTCCGTCACACCCCGGCTTTGTCAATCAAATCCTTTCATTTCGCGTGCAAACGAATGACCTTTATTGGCTTGAATTTCAAGGAGAAATCTGCTATTTTAATTTTACAACGACGCTTAACTATAAGCCTAATTCATTTTCTTTTCTTAGTTCTTGCAATAGATTGCTTTGTCTTCATCAAAATAATGCTCTTCTACACATAATAAATCCTATTACAAGTGAGTACATTAGTTTTCTAGTATATGAAAAGAGAAGGATCTTTTGCATAAGATTAAGTGGACTTGGATTTAATCATAAGATCAAGAAA